AGACTGACTGCCATTAGCTTTGTTCTGTATGTTTCTAAGTAATCACATTCCATTTAATTACATTTTGCAGAGTAGTTGTCGTTTGCAGGTAAAGTAGACAAGTCATTTGTCTAGGAATTCAGTGTCTGAATATACCTCAGTATTTAAGCTGTAGTGAAGACTAGGGTCAGAGTTGCTTCCCTTTGATCAAGGGCAGTTACTCTAGCGGGCGGACCTATGGATTGCTGTTTAAGGCAAGTAGAAATATTTTGTATAGGCAATTATTCATTGCTTATATGTAGTTACGCCACTGTCTTAGAAACAGGTTTCAGTTGGAACTATATTGACTGTGTCACTGTTTGACTGACAAATCACTGATCTTCTGGCGTATTATAGATTTAAAGCACATACTCTAGGGAAACTTGCAATGTTCAGTAATGTTTGTGAGAGATGAGACAGTTTATTCCACGACAGAATTTAAGAATGACATTATATGATAAAGTGAGTGAGTGAGTATGGTTTTACGCTGCTTTTAGCAATATTCCAGCAATATCACAGCAGGGGACACCAGAAATGGGCTTCATACATTGTACCCATGTCGGGAATCGAACCTGGGTCTTCGGCGTGACGAGCGAACGCTTTAACCACTAGGCTATCTGACCGCCCCTATATGATAAAGAGGTTTGGGATGGACAATGTCTTGTATTGTCAAGCCTCCCAAAATACAATGTTTATTCATATTACAGGATAATAACCATAAAAAAACACACTGGAGTGACAGCCTCTATATATCACAAGGAAGCTCTTGCCAAGGAACAAACAATAGCCACTGTCACATTATAGGTTAGTTTAGGTTATTTGTTGTTTAGCGCCGCACTCAGCAATATTTCAGCTATATGATGGCGGTCTGTAAAGAATCGAGTCTGGACAAGACAATCCAGTGATTGACATCAAGAGGATCGATCCACACAATAGGAATTCGATGCCATGCATCAACCAAGTCAGCGAGCCTGACCACCTGATCCCCTTGTTGCCTCTTATGAGTGAGTGAGTGAGTGAGTGAGTGAGTGAGTGAGTGAGTGAGTGAGTGAGTGAGTGTGGTTTTATGCCGCTTTTAGCAATATTCCAGCAATATCATGGCGGGGGACACCAGAAATGGGCTTCACACATAGTACCCATGTCGGGAAAAGTCACGAACCCGTGACGAGCGAACACTTTAACCACTAGGCTACCCGACCACCCCTTCGCTTGTTACGGCAAGCATGGGTTGCTGAAGACCTATTCTACCCTGGATCTTCACATGTTTTGTCATGCAGGTCATGTAGGTCGTGTGTTCCATCTTCTCATGATAGACTCTGACCTTTCAAGACTCAAGGGGGCATATTCCACTACTACTACGACATCGATGCCTTGCGCTGCTTGTCAAACTGATGAGTCCAGACATTGGTTTAAAAAATTAGAGAGACATACATGCAATCATCTCCTCACAGGATAAAAACTAATCAATAGACTCAGAAAGATACAGTAGGAGGTGAAAACAATGAGTGACCAGTCCTTGGTAGATATTGATAAGTGATGAGGGGTGCACTGGGGGAGTGACCAGTCCTCGGTAGACATTGATAAGTGATGATGGGTGCGCTGTGGGAGTGACCAGTCCTCGGTAAACATTGATAAGTGATGAGGTGTGTGCTAGGTGGAATGACAGCCTGTCTTGGGGGAAAAATCAAGGGGTGCAAGTTAAAGACGCTTGTCACATTAGTAGAACCCGTGTGAACGGTGGGAACGAAATCTTGTTGAATCTAGACTTATGTCTCCAGCTTGGAGTGAGTGAGTGAGTATTGTTTTACGCCAAATGTAGCATTATTCCAGCAATATCACGGCGGGTGACACCGGAAATGGGCTTCACACATTGTACCCATGTCGGGAATCAAACCTGGGCCTTTGTCGTGACAAGCAAACGCTTTAACCACGAGGCTACCCGACACCCCCCTTTTGTCTCCAGCTTGAAAGGCAGAACTCTACAAGAGTGAGTGAGGGATTATGGTTTTAAGCTGATTTCAGCAACAAATCAGTACTATCACAGCAAGGGCGTCAGGGCTCCACACTGTACCCATGTCGGGAATAGAACCTGGACCTTTGGTGTGACAAAGACAGCAAAATGTGCTAGAACTTGATTTGTACAATCAAAGAAACAAAGATTACTAAAAGACACCTGAGAAGGGTGTGCCCTGAAGTTTGATAAAGTCTGAGATCCCCCCCTTCCCCAACATCCACGACTACACACCCATGCAGCTACATCATTGCCATGTGTTACTCATCTAATAATAGGAGCGGAATCTCATTGTGGAACAAACAACGGGTTCCTGGTATCACAGAGCAGTTCCGGATTCCACCGTGTTCATGTTAAGGGAGGCTTGGTCATTACACAGTAATGGGGGCAAATATGCTGCAGGGTCAAGTGGGTTTCCTTCACCTTACACGTTCGGCCATGTTAGGTTAATCATTGCACTTTGATACCAACCAGCCCCACTGCCAAACACCCCGCCTCACAATGACTTGGTTTATGCATGTCATTGTATCCCAATTGCGTGGATCGATGCTCATGATGTCAATCACTGGATTGTCTGAACGGACTTGATTATTTACAGATCGCCGTCATACAGCTGGAATATTGCTGAGTGTTGTGTTAAACAAAACAAACATAATTCATTTGCCCCTACCTACCTACAGATAGAATTGTACAATGGGCTCTGCTTTTAACAGCGATTTCTTACAAATATGGACAGTTTTATCGCTTTCATTTTATACTGTGGTGGTATATGTGGAAGAATATGTGCTGGTAATATGTGGTATATTTATCCAAGAACACACAGAAGCTATTTTCTTGACTATGCCTTGAGCATGTGTCATGAATCACCATCAGTGCCTTGAAGCCAGAGATAAGTGCCTGGGGTCAAATCATGATATAAAGAGATGTCCAACTTGCTTTACATAATAATAATAATAATAATAATAATAATAATAATAATAATAATAATAATAATAATTAAGTGCATTTATAATGCGCCAGATTCCATTCACCAAGTAGGAAGCTCATAGCGCTACACTATTATTACCACGGTCATTGGATCAGTGAGCACTTGATTTTCATTCTCAGCTCCCTGGGGAGTATACAACCCAAGCTGCCTGTGAGGCGCCAGAAGGTAAAAGCCACATTACCATCGCATCCTACCGGCTACCCACTCACTGCTGGGTGAACAGAGGCACATTTCGAACAAAGTCACTTGCCTAAGGAGACACCACATGTGGTACATGTGCTTCAGTGTGGGGCAGGACCGCAGCCCTAGAAACTCTCAGGAGTCAAGCTACTGAACGTGGTCACCCATCCAACTACTCTCCGAGACCGACGTTGCTTAACTTCACCTGATTTGTGATCTGTGTGTTGTGCACAGGACCACATTGTATTTTGTTGATTCTATTATCAAAGATTGATGGTAATATCTCCACAGAGCAGGGTTAGAAATATAATCATTTGTGAAATTTGTTTTAAAAAACCATTGAAAATCTGATCTCATAAATTAAAAAAAACAGGTATTCTGAGTTTCCTTGCAGTCTCCAGACATTAACAGTCGCACATCATTGGGGGGAAAGAACTATAACACACGTTCACGCTTGGCTCCTGGGAACAAAATGGAATCAATAACACTTGCTAGGTCTTCATATTCTGCAATTGTTTTAAATGTTTGTTTTGCCTGGGAAAATTTAGGATTTCAGCTGGAATTGCAACTGACTGATCTCCTTCAGGCCTGGTAAAGTTGAGTATCAGTGAGAAGATGTGACACAACCACATACTGGAATGGCTGACTCTGACAGCTAATGAACGAGCTGAGGTCTCTCAGTAACACATATTTCTTAACAATGGTCAGACATGTTGTTATCTATTCTTATCTATGCAGAGACAACGTAAATGAAATATTTCACTCTTCCATCAGCCATGTAACAGGTATGTTATGGGGTAATATTTCCTAGACAGTACTGAGTCATACTGCCTAGAGAGTACTGAGTCATATTGCCTGGAGAGTACTGAGTAATATTGCCTGGAGAGTACTGAGTAATATCGCCCTGAGAGTACTGAGTAATATCGTCTATAGAGTACTGAGTAATATTGCCCATAGAGGATTGAATAATATTGCCTAGAGAGTACTGAGTAATATCGCCTAGAGAGTACTGAGTAATATTGCCTTGAGTACTGAGTATTATTGCCTAGAGAGTATTGAGTAATATTGCCCATAGAGGATTGAATAATAATGCCTACAGAGTACTGAGTAATGTTGCCTTGAGAGTACTGAGTAATATTGCCTAGAGAGTACTGAGTAATATCGCCTACAGAGTACTGAGTAATATTGCCTAGAGAGTACTGAGTAATATCGCCTACAGAATACTGAGTAATATTGCCTTGAGAGTACTGAGTAATATTGCCTAGAGAGTACTGAGTAATATCGCCTACAGAGTACTGAGTAATATTGCCTAGAGAAGTCTACGAACTGGATGTTGAGTTCATTATGTGATTTTGATTGGACTATGCATAGACTTGTTAGACCAGCCAAAATATATCTCCAAAATTCCAGGCTATTTCGGCAAGGGTGGAAACTGGACTTTTATAGTCAGTTAACTCGACATGCCTCGAGAAGATGGAAATATATAGTTCCTGCTCTGTGTTTCCTGCTGATTCTGATGAAGTAACATTGAGAACTTCGCTTTGATTCACATTGCTTTCAGAGACAGCAGTACCAGTGGTTCTGTAACATTAACATCCAAATAGGCACCATTTCAAAATGCTCTCACTGAATTACAAATACCTGATGTGTCATGTATATTATGTTATAGGAGTTGAAGTATTTTAAACAACATCTACAACCACTTAACTCTGGATAGCTCAGCCCCAACAAGTTATTTCCGCCTCTTGTTTTCACAACATGAGTCAATGACAATCCATAAGTGAAATATACCGCTGTGATAGCTGACACGCACATAGCGCTCAGTGTAGGGACATCTATGCTGGCACTTCCTGAGCCTCTGAACAAGGACTCTGAATACCCATCACCTAATGGTTTCCCTATAGCTAGAAGGGACATTGATTGACAGTTTGACAGGTGATGACTTTCAAGATGGCTTAGATGTCTGTGGTAATCAATTAGAAGATGTGGATAATGGATTATGCGTAGATTGTGTTTCACCTTCCCAGCTAGGTAAGTCTTTAAACTAACTTTCCTTCCTACCTGGTTGCTTCTCCTTAAGAATTGATGACCTGTCAATGGATGGGAAAATGTATGAAAATTTGACAGATAACTCGAGCATACAGAGACAAAATGTTGGCCAGCCACAGTGATATTCAATAATTTATTTACCCTGGGGGAAAAACTCACCGATACAAAAACAATCCCTTCATTGTCATTTCTTCAAAGATCCCTAAATTAAACAATACAACTCATTGACCTTGACCTTAAACAAGACAAATTCTTAAAGGGGAACTATCCTCTGGACAGTTAGCAGTTCAAGGACTTCTGATTAAAATACTTACATAAACACTGTTTGTAAACTCATATTTTTTGTATCATTTTGTTTTTTTGTTGTGTATTAATGCCACACTGATCAATAAACCAAACATACAATGGCTGCCTATACCACTACATAACCTACATCACCCATTGCTGTCACATGATCGTGCCAAATGGCCTTGAGATTGGTGAAAGCTTAGATAAAGATTTGGCTCACGTCAAATGGTATTTTCTTCAAGGTCATAACAAAGATACATTAGCTGCGTGCGACTGAGAATTGATGTTGGTGTGTTTGTGTAAATACAAACACATGCAAAGTGTGACATGAGAAGAACATCAATTTCTCCGTTATGGGGCTATTAAGTGTTAAAGAAACACATTTTGAAAATTGCTTTGGATCTTAACTGTGTTCATTAACAGGACAACATAAGTTTTCCTAATGCAATCTTCTTCCCTGGAATATTAACTTCTCACAGAAAATGAAAAATGGGATTGGAAATAATGGTGTTCACAAACATGTGGGCGATCAAAAAACAAAGATGACTCTATCATTTGCAAATGGAAACCATCAACCCTATGTGTTCTCCTGTCCATCCATCTGTTCATTTATCTGTCCATCTGTCCATCCATCTGAGATCCATCTGTTCATTCATCTGTCTATCCATCTGTCCATCCATCTGTCCATCAGAGATCCATCTGTCATCCATCTGAGATCCATCGGTTCATTCATCTGTCTATCATCTGTCCATTGTTCTGTCCATCCATCTGTCCATCCATCTGTCCATCAGAGATCCATCTGTCATCCATCTGAGATCCATCGGTTCATTCATCTGTCTATCATCTGTCCATTGTTCTGTCCATTGTTCTGTCCATTCATCTGAAATCATCAGTCCATCCATCTGTCCATCCATCTGTCCATCAGAGATCCATCTGTCATCCATCTGAGATCCATCTGTCTATCCATCTGTCCATTGTTCTGTCCATCCATCCATCCATTCATCTGAAATCATCTGTGCATCCATCTGTCCATCCACCCGTTCCATCAGGAACCATCAAGCAAATGTCCCTATCTGGTGCTGGTGGAACACTGCTGATACTTTGACCTGAAGTAGGAACTCTGCTTGTCTCAGGCTTACGATTACTTGACATGTGATAGCTTGTCGGCAGGACTTCCAGTCAATGGAGTTTAACTGTAGTGTCCACCATGACAATGAATAATAAACTGTAAATAATCACTATATCCTCACTCACTCACTGACACTCAAAGGCTCCCAGGCTCTGTGACCTGGCTGATCGTGTTATGCCGTACCACGCTGACATGGACCAATGCTCATAGTATCTATTACTGGATTGTCTGGGCCAGACTCATCCAGGCCGGTATCATATGAATGGAGTATTGCTGAGAGCAGCATTTGGCAACAAGCGCACATTGTTTTAATGAAAGCAGTGTTCGTGGTGCGTGCTGCCATCACAGCAGGACATGCTTCCTTTGGGGGGTGGGGGGGGGGGGGACACCTGGTGCCAGCACTGATTTGCAGAAATTCGAACTGATTATTTCCTTGCGATGATGTTCTGAATATGTAGTAGTCACTATGAATTATCACCCTGTGCACACAATGTTTAACTACATGTGAAGTGAAGTATACTTTTCAACCTTGCTGTTCAATGTATTGTCTGCTAACCTCCTTAGCTGTTGATGGGAAACAAGAGACATGTTCTTGTTGATGGGAAACACTAGACATGTTCTTGTTGATGGGAAACAGACATGTTCTTGTTGATGGGAAACACTAGACATGTCCTTGTTGATAGGAACACTTGAAATGTTCTTGTTGATGGGAAACACTAGACATGTTCTTGTTGATGGGAAACACTAGACATGTTCTTGTTGATGGGAAACACTAGACATGTTCTTGTTGATGGAAAACACTAGACATGTTCTTGTTGATGGGAAACACTAGACATGTTCTTGTTGATGGGAAACACTAGACATGTTCTTGTTGATGGGAAACAGACATGTTCTTGTTGATGGGAAACACTAGACATGTTCTTGTTGATGGGAAACACTAGACATGTTCTTGTTGATGGGAAACACTAGACATGTTCCTGTTGATGGGAAACACTAGACATGTTCTTGTTGATGGGAAACACTAGACATGTTCCTGTTGATGGGAAACACTAGACATGTCCTTGTTGATGGGAAACACTTAGACATGTTCCTGTTGATGGGAAAAACAGACATGTTCTTGTTGATGGGAAACACTAGACATGTTCTTGTTGATATGAAACACGAGACATGTTCTTGTTGATAGGACACTTGAAATGTTCTTGTTGATTGGAAACACTAGACATGTTCTTGTTGATATGAAACACTAGACACGCTCTTGTTGATAGGACACTTGAAATGTTCTTGTTGATGGGAAACACTAGACATGTCCTTGTTGATGGGAAACACTAGACATGTTCTTGTTGATGGGAAACACTAGACATGTCCTTGTTGATGGGAAACACTAGACATGTTCTTGTTGATGGGAAACACTAGACATGTTCTTGATGGGAAACACTAGACATGTCCTTGTTGATGGGAAACACTAGACATGTTCTTGTTGATGGGAAACACTTAGACATGTTCCTGTTGATGGGAAAAACAGACATGTTCTTGTTGATGGGAAACACTAGACATGTTCTTGTTGATGGGAAACACTAGACATGTTCTTGTTGATGGGAAACACTTAGACATGTTCCTGTTGATGGGAAAAACAGACATTTCTTGTTGATGGGAAACACTAGACATGTTCTTGTTGATGGGAAACACTAGACATGTTCTTGTTGATGGGAAACACAGACATGTTCTTGTTGATGGGAAACACTAGACATGTCCTTGTTGATGGGAAATACTAGACATGTTCTTGTTGATGGGAAACACTAGACATGTCCTTGTTGATGGGAAACACTAGACATGTTCTTGTTGATGGGAAACACTAGACATGTTCTTGTTGATGGGAAACACTAGACATGTCCTTGTTGATGGGAAACACTAGACATGTCCTTGTTCATGGGAAATACTAGACATGTTCTTGTTGATGGGAAACACTAGACATGTCCTTGTTGATGGGAAACACTAGACATGTTCTTGTTGATGGGAAACACTAGACATGTTCTTGTTGATGGGAAACACTAGACATGTCCTTGTTGATGGGAAACACTAGACATGTCCTTGTTGATGGGAAACACTAGACATGTTCTTGTTGATGGGAAACACTAGACATGTTCTTGTTGATGGGAAACACTAGACATGTCCTTGTTGATGGGAAACACTAGACATGTCCTTGTTGATGGGAAACACAGACATGTTCTTGTTGATGGGGAACACTAGACATGTTCTTGTTGATGGGGAACACTAGACATGTTCTTGTTGATAGGACACTTGAAATGTTCTTGTTGATTGGAAACACTAGACATGTTCTTGTTGATATGAAACACTAGACACGCTCTTGTTGATAGGACACTTGAAATGTTCTTGTTGATGGGAAACACTAGACATGTCCTTGTTGATGGGAAACACTAGACATGTTCTTGTTGATGGGAAACACTAGACATGTCCTTGTTGATGGGAAACACTAGACATGTTCTTGTTGATGGGAAACACTAGACATGTTCTTGATGGGAAACACTAGACATGTCCTTGTTGATGGGAAACACTAGACATGTTCTTGTTGATGGGAAACACTTAGACATGTTCCTGTTGATGGGAAAAACAGACATGTTCTTGTTGATGGGAAACACTAGACATGTTCTTGTTGATGGGAAACACTAGACATGTTCTTGTTGATGGGAAACACTAGACATGTTCTTGTTGATGGGAAACACTAGACATGTTCTTGTTGATGGGAAACACTTAGACATGTTCCTGTTGATGGGAAAAACAGACATTTCTTGTTGATGGGAAACACTAGACATGTTCTTGTTGATGGGAAACACTAGACATGTTCTTGTTGATGGGAAACACAAGACATGTCCTTGTTGATGGGAAACACTAGACATGTCCTTGTTGATGGGAAATACTAGACATGTTCTTGTTGATGGGAAACACTAGACATGTCCTTGTTGATGGGAAACACTAGACATGTCCTTGTTGATGGGAAACACTAGACATGTTCTTGTTGATGGGAAACACTAGACATGTCCTTGTTGATGGGAAACACTAGACATGTCCTTGTTCATGGGAAATACTAGACATGTTCTTGTTCATGGGAAACACTAGACATGTCCTTGTTGATGGGAAACACTAGACATGTTCTTGTTGATGGGAAACACTAGACATGTTCTTGTTGATGGGAAACACTAGACATGTCCTTGTTGATGGGAAACACTAGACATGTCCTTGTTGATGGGAAACACTAGACATGTTCTTGTTGATGGGAAACACTAGACATGTTCTTGTTGATGGGAAACACTAGACATGTCCTTGTTGATGGGAAACACTAGACATGTCCTTGTTGATGGGAAACACAGACATGTTCTTGTTGATGGGGAACACTAGACATGTTCTTGTTGATGGGGAACACTAGACATGTTCTTGTTGATGGGAAACACTAGACATGTCCTTGTTGATGGGAAACACAGACATGTTCTTGTTGATGGGGAACACTAGACATGTTCTTGTTGATGGGAAACACTAGACATGTCCTTGT